GTTATCATTGTCGCCAAGCTCCCGTGCAGAACCCTCCTCGGGGTTTTGCATGGTAGCGGAGTGCGGTTGCCATGGCAGCGGCAGCGGCAGCTGCGGCCAGACCTGGACAGGGCGACCCGCCAGTTAATCTCAATGTGCCGGCAGACAGAGATGCATGGGTCAACATGGACCCGAATCGATTCAACGATCTGTGCGAGCAAGCATACATGAACGGAGACTTCAGTTACGTTTAGACGGCGCTACTCGCGAACCACTTTGGACTCGCAACGTTCATTAACGAGCGAGTAGCACAGGATCGAAGGGAGGTATCGAACGCCGAAGCATTCCAAATGTTACAGAGTGCCCACAAGACCAACAGTATGCTGTTAGCGATCACAAAGAGAAACGCTGCACTCGAAAGGGATGCTCGTAGATTGGTGGAAAGAGTCACCGAGTTGGAGACCAGCAGTGAAGTACAAGAAAAGTTGATCGAAAGGTTTGGTCAGATCTCGGAAGCAATCAAAGGAGGAAGCGGAAACAAGCACGGGAGCAGTAAACCGATAAGCGAATATAAAGCATTACAGGCGCTAAAGAACTTCAGTGGGGAAAGAGCAAAGTTCAGAGACTGGAACGACAAATTCTTGAACGCACTAGCCCATGTGAAGCCGAGTTACCGACCGGCACTGAAAATGCTAAACAAGAAGCTGGAAACGCTTGGCGGAGTTGTGCCAGAGGAGGACGATGACGACATCATACGCATAATGAACGGTCGATTAACTGCAAGTGAGTACCTGAAGGCAGGTCAAGCCAAACAAGCCGAGGACGACAACAAAGGCGAATATGAGTTTACCGAGGGAGACAAAACTCAGATGGAAGACTTATGGTACATTCTGAACGAGAAACTTGAAGGTGCGGAGGCCAGAGGAAAATTAAAGGGACTGATGGATGGAGATGGAATCATGGCTTGGCAAAAGGTTTACAAATGGTACTCGGCGGTAACCGGAGCGACCTTATCATCAAAAATGACGCATGCCATGAATCCTGAACCGCCCAAGAAGATCACTGACACTGTTACCCGACTTGAGGAATGGAGCGCAGTGGCAGAAAATCTTGAGAAATATGGCAAAGATTACTCGCTGCCTCTTCCTTTCAAAGTCACCGCGCTCAGGGCCATAATGGTGCACGCGAACGACTGGTTTGACGAATGGCAGCAGGCATGTTGGCGAACGCCTGACGCGCTTAACATTGACTCATTTCAGAAATTGTACTCAAAGTGCGAAGACTGGGCGCGTAAAAAGAAGCTTGACTCAGATACGAAAAATAAGGATGCAATGGACATTGGGAATATCAACGAGATGAGTCAAGGGTCCGAAAACGTTTGGAACCAAACGGGATGGGTTGACGAAGATGGAAACTGGTGGTCAGAGGATGGATCGTGGAATCACGGGGTTTCCGAGGCTCTACTCGAATCGAGTGGTGACTTTGGAGGAATAGTGAGAGAAATTGTGCTCCCCGACGTAAACTATCAGGCAAGGGTTAATCGCGACACGGGCCGCCAGGTGGATACTAATTCGTGCGAGGCCCACTGTGGTCCATTTTTACTGTTCTAGTCGCACTGGGAACTGCCGCACGAGACCAATAACAGTCTTTCACCTCTATCAAGAGGTATAGGTAGGGCTTAAGGGCGGGAAAAAGGCGCTATAAGGGTTAGCCGAGCGCATTTAGGATCGCTTATGTAGACTTTTGAAAGGTAAGGAAAAAAATCGGTAATGGCAAACACAGGGTCGGTAAACAGGAGAGGCAATGCTGCGTGGGGAGGAAGCTACGGAAGCCAAGGGAAAGTTACCCCGCACAGTGAGCGTGAATGTTACAAGTGCGGCGGAAAAGGGCTCATCATCGCCAGGCAGTACTGAGTCCGGAGCTGTCCCCAAGAAGACCGCCAACGAAGTTGAGCAAGAGAAACCTGTAGTGAACACCGAAATTGAACAAACCACCTCGTTCGGCCAACCACAGCACGTTCTCAGCGTCGAGATGAAGGAAGCAATGAACGTGCCGCTAGACCAGCCTGCGATCGAGGGGGTTAACGAGAAATGGGACCTGCCCTATTACGCAAGAAAGAAGACGGCGCGTGACAACGCGGTAAACTTGAGAAGAATCTATCAGGAACACCAGTACAACGGGGACCGTCATCATACTAGTCAGTGGGACCAGAGAATAAGTAGAAGCGTGAGGCAGGAAAAAAGTTGGCTGGCGAAGTGCAAGGAAATTGGGCTAATTGAGATGCGGGGATGTGATCCAGAGATTAACGCGGTGCCACCGCCAAGTGCAACACATGAGACGATCGCGGTTACCGTGGACTCCGGCGCCTACAACACAGTGGGACCCCCCAAAGTTGGCACTCATTTCCTTATTAAGCATACGGACGCGTCAAAGCAGGGACGACACTACAGTGCAGCAAATGGAACCACGATAAAGAATTATGGCCAACGTGTGATCACAGGTAAAAATGAGCATGGGAACGCCGTCAGTATGCCAATTCAGGTAGCAGAGGTCAACAAAGTCCTAGGATCGGTCAGAGAGATGGTAAACGCTGGAAATAGAGTGGTGTTCGACAAGGATCCTAACGGGAGGTCCCTGAGCCACATCATGAACAAGGCGACTGGCAAGTTAACAGCCATCCATGAGCAGAATGGCACATT